AGTTCCGTTTAGCTTAGATTCACAATCTCTACGTGTTGGACATGCAGAAGCAGCGTTTTCTGTTTGATTTTTTTCTCTCACTGCTTGTTGCAGATTTGTTCAAATCGAAAAGATATAAAGCGCATCTAATAAGGCGTGATCGCTGATGCTCAGCCATTCAAGATAGATGTATTCTCCTGTGTGCGACTTGGAAACAAGGACAGCGCCCGATCGAACGGACTGTGCGAGGAGTCATTTTCCTCCCACGGGGTTGGAGGGGGGTTATAGGCTTAGGGGCTCGCCGTGATATCGCCATTGGTCGAGGGAGGGCATGCAGCGCCGAAAACATGAATCTGTGAACAATCACGATCAAAATAATTCTTTCCAAGTTTGGCCGGTTCATCTGTTTGCAAGGTCGATGCGATGAATGGCGAGTATTGCCTGAGGTCACAAGGAGATCAACCAGCGTGTTTAATTTGCAATCGAAGTAAAAGTCATATCTGTAGACCTAGGTTCAAGCGGGCTTTAACAGGCCACAAGAGGAACAGACTATTAAATGCCTTTACAACTTTGAATCAGGAAAGCGTGCGTGGCGCATCTTAAAGCAGGACTAGTTGGCGCTTCGGAAAAAGAGTGCACATTGGGTTACATCGCTTTGCGGGCTTGCTTCGGGACCGGCTTGGGAGGTGGTGAAAAGTTTTTAGAATTGCGGAACGCGTCGGTTGGCCTTGCTTGCTACACTGTTGCAGATCTGTCTTTCAAATCCCTACACGGTTTGCTGAACCAAATTATAAAGGTAATTCTTTGCATCGATTGTACGGTATAGCTTGAAAGTGCCCTCATAAGGTGAATGAGGTCCAATGAGATGGGCGGAAGTGGTGTAGTGACAAGTGGCGCGCTTACCACGCGAGCGGTCCGGGGATCAAATCCTGGGTCGTGAGTCGCCCGGGCCAACCAAGCCTTCCATCCCTCCGGGGTCGGTTAATTGGTACCAGACTTGTCTGGGAGGATAAAAACACTGACTTGTACATT